GAATCATTTCTAAGAAAACTCAGAGCATTCTAAAATGTACTAAATTACGAAAAAAAACTGTTCGAACAGTTTTTTTTCGTAATTTAGTACATTTTAGAATGCTCTGAGTTTTCTTAGAAATGATTCTGGAATTCTTTTAACAAATGCATTTTGTAGAGCAAACATTTTTCTACAAAATTAGATGTTTTACAGCTCTAAGAGAATCGTGATAACTGATTTGTAGCAATTCTCCCGGATGCCCCAACGCTAGTTAAAAAATGGTGCATGCCTAGGTATCATTCTCTTTTTTGCTATGGCGTTAATAAGAATTGTATGTAGGTGTGTTCTAATCGTGAGGAATTGCATGAAAAGGTGTGAACCAAATTTTAAACTCATTTAAACTTATTCTTTTTTCTTTACTACTCTTTTGACTCAGTGACTGCTGTTTTTTCATCATTCTTTGAGTTTTTCTTCTGTATACACGTAAAAAACAGTGATTGGTTCAGCGTTTTCGATTAGGTGGGGGTAGGGCGGAATACCTTTACATTGTTTGAAATAAATTACTCATCTGAGAAAGATATTTACTTAGTTCATAAAAAAGTTTTCTCACTCAGAAAAGTTGACTTCAGTTTTTGGTTATCAGCTAAATTTTTTGAGAAAAAACGTGCTCAGAAAATTTTTTGGAGTTGCTCAATAAAACTTCTCCCACCTTGCCAAAGTTATGTCGAAAACGCTGATTGATTTAAGATATTTTCAAGAATTATATATGGTCCTGGAGGGTGTTTCATAAAAATTCTTAAGTGCTCGACTTAACTAAGTCTAAGTCTTCGTTTTGTATACTTACGTGTTAATTTTATACATTTAAGTCTGACTTAAGTCCATAAAAACAGCTGATGTAAACTTTATTAAATAAAAACAGTTCGGAACTGCTTTTATGTATTTGTATTGTATGAGTATTGTATGAGTTGAATTGAAAAAAACAAGAATCTACAAGGATACAGTTTACGTCAATTTAAAGTAGCTACAAAGCTCGTTGTCGTTAACTGATACGCCTTGTACGTTTTTTTTACGTCATCTTTTCGTCTATATTTGTTAAACCGAAATGTTTAGTAAATATTTCCATGTGTATTTGTCAATGGAATTTTTTGATTTCCTTTTCATTTCAAAAGTATGTCATAAGACGAATAAAGTCAATACTCAAAAAGGAAGGATTCTGTTTCATCCACAAAAAAAGATAGTCAGATTGTACATATGTCCTTTTAGCAGTCATTTTCCATTGAACAGATTAGAAATTTATACCACTGTATACTTCAAGTGTAAGAGGTTATGAGGTAGATTGACCCATTTTGAGCTGAAGAGCCCGTCAATACTCATTAATCTCGCATTATAATAACGTCTAAAGATTCTATCGCTATATATTATCTAGACTCTGAATTTTATTTTCCATATCAATTTATCAGATATTGGTTTGCTTTTATTTTAGTTTTCTTTCATTTTGACAAATGACCACCTCGGCAGATCCTGATAATGCTGTCATTTCTTATTCTAATGTAGCCGCAATTAGTGCAGGAATAGCATTAGTAGCGGCGGGTGCAGTCTATTCGAATTACAGAGCCATAGTAAATAATTTATCATCATTGTTGGTTGATAAATCAACAGAAATGACCAATAACATTGACTGGAATAATATGACTGTTCCAGCTGTAGTAAGTTTTCTTATTACAAAAACGATTCATTGTATTTGTATGTACGTTCTTTGCTCATATTTTGTATAGGAACAAGGCTATTCACAAGCAAGAGTCTCCTGTCAATTAGGCAGCCGTCAACTGGCTGCGATTGGTAAATGCGAACATGATGATCGTCAATTCCAAACATTTTATGAAGGGTTTATGATTGGAAAAGACATAGCGAAGACGATAGGTTTGAGCAGTCTATTTGCCTTGTTGTATCTCTACTATACTATTTTCTGTTAAAGGTGATGGAAGATGTCTAGGCTATCGTCAAAATAGAGAATCGCCGTATGAGTGGCTGTCGTATGATGAAGTGAGACTTCTACATTATGTCATTCGCTAACTCTTCTCAATGTAATCACGTATGATTCTAGACTGAACAAGGAGCGAATGAAATTGGCAGCGGTTTAATTCATATTGGCGACAAGTTTGGTCAAAAAACATTTATAGGAATCTATGCTGTGAACAGTGTTGAAGTAGGTCATAATGAAGCATGTTGTTATTGTTGTTTATTGTGTTTCTCGTTTAGTGGATGATGACAGCAGTCGCCTGTCATTTTCAATCTATGATTTATGTTCCACTATATGATACATTAGGAGAAGCTGCTATTATACATATTATTAATCAAAGTAAGATATGAACGATATCTAACGGTCAGTAATAACTTGTTTTTGTGTATATTTTAGCTCGTTTAAGCACGATTTTTATTGATAAACCGGACAACGTGTTGAATCTGTTGAAGTTGAAATCCAAGATAGAATCCTTAAAACGTTTAGTTATTACGAGAACAATGCCGGCTGACAAAGAATCTGAAATTCGAAAACGGGCGACGGAAGCTAATCTCGAACTCTTGATGTTCAACGACTTAAGGGTGAATTGAGTCGAACCTCATCTGTCAATTGTAACCTCATATATTCGTTTCTGTCATTTAGAATAGTGGACGAGATCATCCGTCACCTCATCATGTATGTTCGAATCTGCAGATGTTGTGGATTGTGAAGAAATTGTGCATTTTACATTTTGTTCATTTAGCCACCTAAGCCAGATGACGTGTTTGAAATATGTTATACAAGTGGTACGACTGGTTTGCCAAAAGGAGCGATGTTAACAAACAAAAATATCGTCGGTCTTGTAGAAGCGGCAGCAGAGTTTTTCGTAGGTTCTAAGTTTGTAATAGATGTACACTCGATAAAAAGAGGAGCTTATTTTAAATTTTAGAGACCAATATTTACTCAGCAGGAAACAGTCATTTCATATTTACCATTAGCACACAGTTATGAACAATCTATTGAGGTATGTGCAGAAAATAGTTAAATTTCCTACTTGAGCATTTTAGTTGAGTCTATAGATTGCTCCCATATACAGATGATGGCATAACATGAAAGGAGCATTACTATAACAAAAAGTTTATGTTGTCTACCTCTAAATGGAAAAGTGTAAGTTTTTGGCGAACTTTATAAAGTAAAAAGGATGCTAGAGGCTTTTTATTAAAATGATCACATGCTTTTTAGTAAGATGAATGTTGTCTTGCAGGAAATTATAGAACATGACGAAAATCAAATAATTTTCGTGAACAGTTTTTTAGTAATTAACTTAGGCTGCATGATTAATCAATCAGTAAAACAGCCATGGAGCAGAGTTGCTGAAAATTCTGTCACAGCTTGATGCTTTTTGATCATAATGACTAACAGTTCTAGTTATGTTTTTATTTATCTGTTGTTCCAGTTATTTTGTTTGTGTTATGGCCATAAAATTGGTTATTATCTCGGCGATGTTCGTCAGTTGGCTGATGATTTACAAGCATTGAAACCAACATTAATGCCCTGTGTGCCACGTTTATTAAATCGAATGTATGATAATATTCAAACAACAATCGGACATTTAGGTGTTTTAAAACGTTCATTATTTCGATGTGCATATTCTTCTAAAACCGCGGAAGTACAAAATCATCGTGTCAATCGTCATCTTCTATGGGATAAAGTAGTATTTAAACAAATTCAACAACGTCTTGGTGGAAACATGAAACTAATTGTTAGTGGTGCTGCACCGTTGTCACCAAAAATATTAGAGTTTTTAAAAATAGTTTGTGGCGCATACGTTGTCGAAGGTTATGGACAAACAGAATGTTGCGGTATATCATCATGCCAAGTACCTGGTGACTCATCAGTGGGAAATGTAAGTTATGTCTTGTTAATGAATACTGTTTAAAGTCATCTTGTTTTATTATTTGTTTGAATAGATTGGTGTTCCATTACTTTGTAATATGATTAAATTGTGCGATGTGCCCGATATGGAGTATTATGCAAAAGATAATATTGGAGAATTATGTATCAAAGGTTCGAATGTATTTGCCGGTTATTATAACGATGAAGAAAAAACGAGAGAAGTTATAGATAATGATGGATGGTTACATACCGGTGATATTGCCACGTGGATAAAGGTAAACGAAACATTGTTTTTGTGAAAAAGATCAAGTAGATTAAAGAAGTGCTTTTATGGTTTTTCTTACAGACTGGACAAATTCAAATAGTCGATCGAAAGAAACATATGTTTAAATTAGCTCAGGTAAGATGAAATATTTAATTTGTGTTAGGACTTGTGTTGATAAAGAAAGTCAGTGCAGCATTATACAAATACGTAGCTATGTATGTACTTTATTATCACAAGAGTCTATGAGGATAGAACTAACATTGACTTATCTAGCAAAAATTTATCACTATGTATATTAAAGATGTAGAGTAATTTTTACATATTCAATCATGATCATATTTTTTTCCATAGGGTGAATATCTTGCGCCGGAACGTTTAGAAAATGTTTATGTTCAATCCAAATATGTTGCACAAGTGTATGTGCATGGTAACTCTTACAAAGTACTGTAAAATAGCTGTTTTTTTTTCTTGAAGTTGATCAGCATCTTTTTGATTCTGTTTAGAGTTTTACGGTAGCCATTGTTGTTCCTGATAGTGAAGTTTTGCTGAAATATGCAAGGAGTGAAAATATGCCAACTGATTTGGTGGAATTATGTAAACGAAAGGTAGATGAAAATTATATACAATATATTAGTGTTGTAGTTATTGTGAAAATTTGTTATTTTTAAGGATATTAAAGAACTTATTTTCAATGATATGCGAAATTTAGAAAAGATAAATGAGTTAAAAGGATTTGAAAAAGTATGTAAAAAGTTGTGCATTCTGTGTTTTAATAATAGTTCGCTGTTAATGTTTTTCTTTTACTAGGTTAAAGATATTTATCTTCACCCGGAGTTGTTCAGTATAGAAAATAATTTGTTAACACCGACATTAAAGTCAAAACGCCCGGAATTAGCCAAATATTTTGATAATCAAATTGAAGAAATGTATAAAACAATCGATTAAGTCAATTTACTATTTCATCAACGCGAACAAGTTCCTTCACAACTGGTGATTTTTTGTAAATATTTTTCAACAATTTACGCTTTTATCTCCTTTACTTTCTCACACACATACACACACATTCTGCTTTATTCCCGTTTGCACTCACACACGTACAAACACAACGGGTCAGATCGTACATTTTTGGAAGCAAGAGAATTATTATATGTAAACAAGAGAATCTCTGTTTTTTTCTTTTTATATTGAAGATCTGTATGCTCTCTGTGTTTTATCTGTTGTTGTTCGTTGCGTATTTTAACTATTACTATTGTTGTTGTTGTTGTTGTTTTACTCCCTTCTCAAGTTCATATAGGTATCCATTCGTATGTGTTTGTAATGCATTTTTTTTGCATCTGGGATATACTGCATCATGTTGTTGTTTTTTCAGTTTTTGTTTGTTGGTTTTATTATCTTTTAAAATACAAAGAAAAACAGTATAATAATGATCAATTGGTGAGCAAAGATTTTGGGTACTAAATTTGGTTTCTTGATATGCTCGTTTTGCTTTTTTAGAATTTGTAATTTGCAATTAGTTCTGACCCTTAAGTTAAATATCATGCTTCATAGTAGAAAAAATCAAAAGGCGGGAGTAGAATTTTCGAGTCCATTGTGGTAGAATTCATATAAAAAAGTGGAATAGAGATAGTTTTTAGCTTTTGACAAGTATATGGCGAGAAAAAATTAGAGTATTTTCAAAGAAGAGCCCAAAATTTCTTATATTCATCTTTTTTTGAACTAACTACTGCCACTTAAAACTTTAATCTAAAATTTTTCCAGTATCGTCAAAAAGGTTTTCGAGAAATCTCCCGAAGTCAAAGAACATTTTTATTAATCCTAAGTTGAAAATCATATTGAATAGATAGAATACAGTATATCTTGATATTCTAGCGTGTTATGGATCGATTTTGACCGAGTTACGACTTTTTTAATTGACGAAAAAATAGTCAAAAACGAGTGGTTTCATCTAATATAGGGTTTCACTAGGTCTTGGCAAATCCGATGCTACACCTGAATCCCGAAAAATTAAGAGGTCGTTCGGTTCTCATCTTGAAGAAGGCACTTTGGACTTTCTATCCATGGAGAAAAACAGTATATTGCTATATTGAACTCTTGGGTTATGAAGTGTTTTTCCAGATACCTGTTAGAAAACCGATGCTTGAACAATAGTTACAAAATTTTTTTCTTATAAAGACCTGGTTTAAAGTCTTGACTATCGTGTAGAGAAAACCGCAAATCTCTATCACCCTTCGTTCTTGAGTTATTCAAAAAATATTGACCGGCATTCTTTTTTGAAAAGCATAATAGTATAGATTTAATACATAATAGTATAGAAAAAAAACTTTCAGTCCTTTTCTCCCTGCTTTTAGTACGACACGAAAACTTCAGCCTTACTCTAACTCCTTCTATGGAATATCCATAATAATATCGAATAACTGTCTTCTGAATATCCATAGCTTCAGAATTTCTATAATTTTAGAATCACAGGAAGGACTAGTCAGCATTAGACTTTTACCGCGACAAAACTCATAAAAATCATCATATTCGATGATTTCGACGCTTTCGAGCGGTTTCAGTCAAACATATCCAACAGAATCTGCTCGAAAACAAACAACCCCTTAGCACCATCAGTATGACTGTTAAAGCGAAAGTTCTCCGTAACTATCCAATATTTCGTCTACACTATTCGATGCGCCTTGAAAAGCTCTAGAATATGTGTTGACAGAGAACTTAACGAAGTCTGGCAGCGACCTTTGTGAATTACATACTTCGCCGTTTGAACCGAAGAGAACTTGTACATCGGTTTCTGCTTTAATAACTTTTGCGAAAGATACGTGAGGTACACGTTTTAAATGTTTTTAAAGATTTCGTTTGTTCTTCTTTAACCTTCGAATAGCTGATTTCACGTCAAAATGACTTAAAATTATTTATTCTCGTACGTTGGCGTAAAAAACCATAGTCAGGACACTACATGTCTGAATGGTCACTTCCACTCTCAGTGCGCAAAACACATTGTGACGTGCATGTATAATAGGACCAGTAGCAATTGGCTGTTGCAGTCGTGTGGCTACTCTTTGGTATCTCGGCTATAACCATCGTATTACTGAAACTAAACTTAAAACGTCAACAACATTGATTAATTATGTTCACGGCAGTCAAAAATATTTAGACTATGATACAAGCTCTGATGAATCAGATTCACGATATGTTTTGCGCAGTGAGAGTTAAAGCTGGGCAACTTCATTGATTAGAGATCCTCTTTAGTTTCATAGAAAAAAAAGATAAACAGTCGCAGTGGCATAGTCCCGATCTATGAAAATTTAAAAAAAAGAAACTTAAAATGAGAACCGGAAAGATCTTTTAATTTTTCGGAATTCAGGCGTGGCATCGGATTTTCTGAGAGACCAAGGATCGATTATTCTTTGGGTATGGTAATCACGAAAATGAGTGGGAGCATAGGTTACCGACCATGCTGAGTCTTGTGGCAACGTTTGTTTTTTGAGAAAGTTTTAAAGACCAAATGAAACCCTATATTAGATGAAACCACTCGTTTTTGATTATTTTTTTGTCAATTAAAAAAGTCGTAACTCGGTCAAAATCGATCCATAACACGCTAGAATATCAAGATATACTGTATTCTATCTACCCAATACGATTTTCAACGTAAGGGGGGAGCAGAACTTGATGGGTAGGGATCTGATGAAGTCTGGTCAAGAAATTTGAGTTTGGCTCGCCCAATCCAGTTTTGGTAGAAAAAGTATTTTTAAGAAAATCTTGAACTAATTTAAACGAAATTTTACGAAATTTTTAATTTTTTAGGTTTTGTAAAATTTACTTTAAAAATCCAGTTTAACGAATTTTGAAAAATTCCTCATTCGTATTCCAGGGAATCTGATTCTGAATAACTTTTGTAGCCAAACTTTTTCTTGAAACCTTGTCTGGGAACGTTAACGATCTTTTCACATATACATCTTGAGACGCTCTATCGATTGGTTACAAAACCGAGATTTTAAACTAAAACGTAAAAAACTTATTTCAACTTTAAAAAACAGGTAAAAATGACCGAAAAGAATTAAAAACATTTTTTCTATAAAACTATAAGTTCGTAAACCTCCAAAATGTTTTCATATGTATTTTGAAGTATCCTCTACAATCTGGCAAAGTTTGAACTAAATCTGGACGTGGGAGCCTCCTTAAGACTAATAAAAATGTTCTTTGACTTCGGGAGATTTCTCGAAATCTTTTTTATGTTTTTTGGCCACATACTGATCGGAATATACTTTGCTTCAAAACAGGATATGGAGCATGAGACCCTTCTGCCAGTGTTCGCATTGTACCATGGTACAATCAAGAAGATACTGCAGTATCTTCTTAAATGATGTGAAATAAAATTTTGCAGTCGAAAATAATCGAAAAGTTAGGAACGTTGAGTTGTCTAAAAATAGAATGAAAACGATAGGAACTATTCGTACTACAGAAAGTATAGGAATGTTGTGAACTATACAAGCTGTTGGAAAACTGCCTAAGAATAATTCCTCAGCGACCTTTTTTTGAAACAAAAGTGACTACTCAAAAATCTATATCCCGATCGGGGGATATAGCAGAAATTTCTTCCCCTGTAAAAATGATGAATATATCCCGATTGAGCTAATATCCCAATAGGAATATAGTTTTCTACTGTAGTATCTATAAGCTATTTAGAAAACGCACTGAGAAGAAATTTCACTTGTCACTCATGAGAATAATTACATGTGAAACTTTTTTGAGCGATTTAAAGTTCCTAACTCTTGCATACTTTTCGACCGCAAAATTTCATTTCACATCTATGATCTTCTTTTGAATACCAAAAAACTGGCCTTTTGTCCTCTTTTGCATGTCAAAGACATGATGTTCGTCTGTTTCTCTTCTGTGTGTTTTTCGACAAATATTTTTTACTATATTCATTGTTTGACAACGTAATAAATGTATGAGCACACCATTGATTCAACTATTACGCAACGACCGACAAAAATTCGTCTCCATCCATACAATCTAAGAAGGTGAACAAAGAATAAAAAGATGATAAACTAACCAATTTTACTACCCAAAACATTTTTTACTGGCGAATTCTTTTCTCAACCCAGCTAAGAAAGCCCTTGAGCAAGCTAGAGACGCGTACTGACAAGGGAAGGTTTCCAGAAGTTTTTCGAGAAAAGATTTTCACATCTTTGCAGAAAACCACAGCGTTTTCTAGATTTTTTTTTCGTAGATTTCTTGTACGTAGAGTATAAAGTATTATCGAAATTTAAAAAGAAGATAGGGCAAAATGCTTATAACGAAAAGTGATTGAGACCTGCTGTTTTCACCATTCGAAAGAGGGGATCAGGGGATGTATGTCTATAGAAAAATCAGGGCTCCCAATCAGGTTTATCATGGTGTATCATTCGAGGCAAAATCCGAAAGCTTACCATTCACAGACTACACTGTGACATCCAGTTCCAAATAATAGCAGTCGATAGCCAAAACATTTCTCTCCAAAACTAAACTAAGCAAGGCTCAGGTCTTTATCTCCTTTGGTTCTGGAGATGCAGACGTTTTTCGAGGACACACCTATCTCATTGCAGACACGTCTGGGAATCTCAGAAACGTCTGGGAATCTCAGAAACATGTGGATCATAGGTAATCCACCATGCTGATCATCGTGGTGATGTTCGATTCATTGCCTACCTAACCACAACTCCAGAAAAGCCAATTTGGTGAAAAGTCGGTTTTCCGCCTGTTACCATTAAAAATTAAAAACCGTATATTTCACTCATTTCTCGTCCAAAACGACTGAAATTTTCAGATAATGATTAGCAAAGACGGTAGAATGTAGATCGAGCCGAAAAAAATTATATAGGGTTTTCGGTTTATGCATACGATTTTTTAGCGGATCTCAAAACCTCTCACGGAACCAAAGCGCAGATTAGATCTTTTCGACTAGTTTTCTAAAAACCTTGCTTTCACCAGATTCTAACATTTTTTTCTAAAAACAAATATTGCCACGAAATTCAGCATAGCCAATAACCTATGTTTTCATACATTTCTGAAGGTGTGAGATCGAAGAATAGAGAAGTCCAAGGGCTTCGGGAAAAACATCCGAAGCTCCCGAACCAAGCAAAGTGGAACTTTCGCCTAGATCTTATTTTCTAGGAGACGCTAGTAGAATGAGTTTTGGCAAAAATATAATAAGAAAGTTTTGTTTGAAAGTCTAAAAAATGAGATAGAGGAGTAGCCCCTCTCTCCTCCACACAACCGACAATTCTGCTCACGAATATGAGTTGATTGTGACAATTTGACTGATTTCATTATTTCTTTATTGCTATTGTCAACGAATATGAATAGAAACAAATTTTCATTTGCATCACTTTATTTGTTTTGTAACATCAACCATAAATTGACTGACTAACGAATCAATCTTTTTTATTGATATATTGAGAAAAATGGGTATCAATGTTTTTTATCACCAAATTTTTCAATATGATACATATTCATTGAAATATTAACCAAATGAACAATATGCTCACAGTTTTATTTATATCTATTTACAAATTTAAAACTATGCTAACTTTCTTGGGAGGATCTTTTGCCAGTTAAAAAAATACAAGTTAAATAAAATTGTTAATTCAACAGAATGTTTCCACAAATATACTTTTGTGTCAATCGGACAGCTACACGATTCTAATGGTACAACAAACCAATATGTTTGTTGCCACGCCAGAAAATCATTGAATGTAAGCCACTAACAAGAACGATAAATATCTAGCCAATGATACATTCAATGATTTTATTCAACCATTAGGCAAACGAAAAGTAAAAGGACCTTCCAAGAAAGTTAGCACAGCTTTAAATTTGTAAATAGATATAAATAAAACTGTGAAAATATTATTCATTTGGTTAATATTTCAGTGAATATGTTTGTGCTATACATCATACTTTGATGCCAAACTCTCTTTTTCACACCACATTGTCTTTATTAAAAGCAAAATACGTAAAAATTCAACTCCCTTTAAACAGCTTGCATATAGTCGCATGATGAGTGAGGAAGTTAGCTATCGACTTCATAATGCATATATCCGCCCATATTATCAATCACTCCTAAACATATACCCAATTTTGTCGGTCAGCAAACAAAATGAACTAGAAGCTTTAAATCGCCAACAATTTCGGTTAGTACACAGGCGGTACGACTCTAAAAATGTCGAAGTTATAAATTTACCGTATTACAAGTCGATAGAAACTCTCACTCAGATACACTGGAACAAACTGATTTCTACTATTCTTGCTACTAATCCTGCTGTCCTTGCTGATTTCCTTCAAAATAAACTTTCAACTCTTTATCTTCGTGAATATTGTAGCAATCCCTCTCTTCTGCGGCAAAGACGTGAAATTTTTGGTCGAGGTAGACCTCGAAACAACTTGTTAACTAAGATGAATCAAGAGCATTTGTCATTGTTCGATTATGTTTTTTGTTATGAGAAAAAGGCATCGTGAAACTCACAGTCGGGACGTTGTGCTACTCTATTGACTAGGTAGTGTAGTACGGTTAACAAATCATCATTTTTATCTTTTTTTCTTTTCTCGTTTCCCTCTCTACCTTCCTTGTGTTTCAAAGAAGTAAATTAAGTTGTAAACATTCAAAATTCAAAACTAAATTTATTTTTCTTTCTTTTTTTTGTCTAAACTGTATATTCAAATTGTTTTTTTTTTCGTTTTCTGCCAGGAACGAAGTTCATTCAGCAGTCTTTTTTCTCTCGTGGCTTTGTATGTACAATAATAACAATAAAGCACTAACACACACACATATACATCATACTTTGTTGAGAAATAAAAATGTGAGATCATGCTGAAAAATTTAGTGACCGGTTATATCTAAACATATTTAGTGATCAAAAGTACATTTACTCGAGAAAAATACTATGATCCATTTATCGACAGTTAACAAGTGATTATTTTCAACCGAATATTTCTTGACAATAATTAGTGGCAATATCGAAGCCATAGAGCCGTAGAGTGTGATATGTTCATAATCCATTAATATCGTTTTAATTTTGCATTCGTTATCATAGTAAAAAAATGTTTTTTGAGTGCGAAAAGGTCAGTTTACCTCAAAAACCGAGGGATTTTGGAACACCAATATCTCAGTCCAGGAAAATATGCGCACTTTTGTGGATTCACCATAGATGCACGGCCTCGCGAGGAACATTTTGGTATAAAAATATGTTAGTTCAGACCTGCGCTAAGCTACGCGTTCTCAAAGAGAGCCTTTACAGCCTAGACCGTTTTCGAAAGAATCCATTTCAAAACTCTTAAGTTTCACTCGAAAAACAAAATTCTTTTGTATTATTTCGTATTCGTCTGACTATGTTCTTTCCGAATATGATCTCGGTTTTATTCTAATTTACTATCCTTCAATAAAAATCGAAATTTTCCGAAAAAATAGCGCATTTACATGATGTTTTTGCATTTCAAATCTTTTATAGGAGGAAAAGTCGTAGAATAAAAATTCTTTCGCCATTAAATCGGTCGTCACTCATAGTATATGAAACACTATTTAAATTACGAAAAAGCAAGCTCATTGTTTTTTTCTAAATTTCCACTTGAATGCCCACTGTGGATCATGTATTGATCATAGCAAATATTGTATTTTGTATATTACTCTTTGGAAACGCAAAAAGTTTTCGTTTGCTACAAGACTGCAAATAAATTTATTTTCTCACGGAACTTTTACAGTTGTTTTTGTTCTGATTGGTAATTAAACTACCAAAATATATACACAACTTTATCTTTGTTTCAAACCAATGCATATTTACAATGTAGTCTTATCATACTTTTCTTTTCAAAAAGTATTTCACAATGAAGATCAAATTTTCTTTAGAAATAAAAATAAACTCTTATTTCATCTCTGTTTATCATTTTATTATGTACCATATCACGTGCTTGTTTTTATCATATCAGTGATGTTCAAATCAGGATATTCATCGACTGACAATAACCGTTGCACATTCTTCGCACTAAAATCATCTAATAGTGTTTTAATTACTAAACGTGATTTAGTTAATGCTTGTGAGACTAAAATTGGATCTGTTATCGATAATGTTTGTATTATATGTTTGTTATTACTAGTTAAAACTTCGCTATGAACTGTAGTACTAGTAGTTGGACCTATTATCATTGCTTGTCGTTTGGATAAATCGTTGCTCATCCTAGACTTAACTATGGCATTAATAGATGAACGGTTTGTGGAATGTTTTGTTGATTTTCGTGATCGATGCTCACCACTTTTCTTTTCAATCCATGGTGGAATCGATTGATCATAATAACCTAAAAACATAATGTGACTTGATTTACCTTCACACATAGTAAATGAAAAAAACGCCGATAGTAGGACTACCAGCTACTTTCCAATAAAAGCATGATCGTAAACTAGGACGTAATTACACCCCGAGATAATTCAAGAGAAAATCGTCGTGTTAGACATATACAGAGCTGCATATAACTTTATTATTAGAAGCTAAATCACTCACGTACGAAGCGTTTGAGTAACACCTTAATCTTACACACATCATAGTTCATATATCACGAAAATCTGAACTTATTAATCAAGCAAAATTTGATGAAAACTGGGTTTCGATAAGGATGCTCGTGTCAGCAAAAGCAGATGTTAGGCATCATGCTTTATTATAAAAACTTGTTCTTAAATTGACAATTCTGTTTTATAAACTACAGAAAAGTTGATTCATGAAAAATAAAATAAATTAGAATCAATATCATCCGACATACGAACGTTAGTCATTTTGAACAGAACGACATGAATAATTAAAAACATGATATGATGAATGACATATATCATAGGCTACAAATTACAACCTTTTTATTTCTGCAAATAATCATATTTTGCTCATAAAACATCAGAAAATGACAACTTGCGAAAACAGAGATCCACCACTCTGTACTCCATTATCTATAATGATTTGAGAGAAAGTTGCGTAATAGACTTGACTTCAGATAAAGAATGATCATAGTAGACGTTTATGAATATTACTTACCGATGAGAACAACAGTATAGAAAAAAGAGAGAGATATCTCGGTAAAAGCAGAAAACTAATAAATATGGCGATAAACTGATTTGTATCTGGATAAACTCGAGTGTCATGATATGTCAGAGCGGCTGTCACATTGCAATATGAATGTTAACGAGGTAAATCCTTCTCATATAAAGATAATTTCAACTATTCTGTTAAAGCACAATGTTATTTTGTTGCCATTTATTGCCATAGTACTTTTATCCCAATATTTAGAAAAGATATCACGATGAAGCCGATGTACCGATAACGTACGATCTTTTTCGCATCATGGCATGTCGGTGAGTCATTACTGTTGCGTTCCGTTATGGCACTTTAATTCTTCGTTTGTTAACCATAGTAGTACTCTCTAAAAAACAATCTGTAGATTACAAAACGGATATTGGCTTCGGCATTTTCTCCTAATCGAAATCGATATCGTATAATCCTGTCTAACTGTTTCGCAGAATACGTTTTTCTTTTAAGAGAAAATGCGAAAACCGATATTCGTTTTGTAACCTTCCAGTGTTTTTTTCTGTCGGAAGGGACACATCCGAATGCGTTTTGTTTCATTCGAACGCATTCCTCCCGAAAGAAAAAATCACTGGACCATGGATGTTTTCTAGGGAGAATCGTAATAATGATGTGTGGTAGGATATAGAACGATAAAAAATTTTCGATGCATATCATGATATGAGGTCGTATTGTGATACTTGTAATGTTGATCGTAGTAACTTTCATATTCCGGCGTATAGGTGGGTGATGATACCCTGAATTTATCGCAATAAGAAATGCTATCGCGACCAACATCAAGGCTAACCCGATAAAAATGTTGAATCATCGTTAGTTCGCGAAAACCTTGGAAAAGCGGAATTTATGTAAATACTCAAAATGTTGTGCACTTGCTTCTTAGTAAAACACTTTATAATTCTAAGTTTTCTTTTCTTACTAGCAAGAAGAGTCTAGTCTGTCAATATGGTACTGATGAGCACAACTTAGTCAACCCCCCAGGTAGATCTCAAATTACGCTGGAAAAATAGATAGCGGAAATGGAATACTTAGATATACCGCACTATAAAAATTATCGCAATCTATGTCGATGGTTACGTCACATACATCAGGATATTGCGACAAAAATCGGTGTACTCTCGTCATGGGGCGGGGAGGGTGTACTTTTGTCACATGTGACGGAAGTGCGTTTTTCAGAAAAAAGCATGGTGACGTAAGTTCCCATGAATTCCGGAGTGCTTTTTGTAGCTGTGACAAAAAAAGAGTGTGACGAAAATGCGTTTGTTTTTAACGGTTCTTGCTTAACTTTCGTCACACATAAATACCGCCATAGATATAGAATAGAATTAAGTGTTGTGCGATTATTAAGTGATCGAGAGCACTCCTCAGTAAGAGCTGCATCAAGTTTTACTACACCGCAGTAGTTCCTTAGCAAGTACTAACAGAATATGCGAATAACAAAAGTTTGATATTAATTGTTAATGGAAAAAAGATAATCAGTGAACTACTATCATTAGCGAATGAGAATTGACGAAATTCATCTGAAAATTAATAGCCACTTTTAATTTTTATGTGTTCGGAAGTATTCTCTCAATAAGAGCTGCATCTTGTTTTTACGCATCTAGTGCAGTACTTCCTTAGGAAGTATTTATAGTGAACAAAGATTTATTGTTCAAAATTTATGAACTTACTCTGTAACTACTTGCTAAGAAAGTACTGCATTTAGCGTTCTTTAAATAAGACCAAAATTCACCACTACTGTGATGAAAGGTCGCTTCATGCAACGAAATTTTTGGTGTGTGTGACAAAATTCATACTTTGATGACGACAGTTCGCGGGGAGTACCTTCCCCTAGGAAGTTTCGTCATGTATGACAAAAATGCGTTAGTCATAATGATGATAGTGTGGTGTGACGAAAGTGCCATAATCCCAAAAATCTATATTGAACGGTTCTTAGCGATATGATACATCGATGACTCGTTTCGATATTCACGATCTATTTTAGTTATTGCAATATATCAGGTCAAATCTATCAAAAAAAAGTTCTCATGCGTAGGAAACGGAAGATGAAGAACAATAAGCCGAAAAGAAAATCTCTTGCGCCTTTAAAAAATATATAACCTACTTTGCCTCAGTGAACGGAATTGTCCTATACTTCCTTGTTCTTTTCTTTGTTTTGATGATATTTGTGTTGTCATACTCTGCTGTTTTTCATTGATTGTTGCACGTGATGACGACGACGACATCACCGATGTTCGTGTTAGTCGGCTTTTACGAACCTCCGATTTTTTAAATCGGTTAATTTGAATTGTGTACAAGACACCATCTTGTCCATGAGCCTTTAATATAAAATATATTTATTTTTAGATGAAGAATTCAGATTCATTTTACTGACTTACTTCAAAACTATAATATGGTTGCTGTATTTGTTTCTTTGTTGCACATCGATCATGTTCAATGGATTCTTGCAATTTTTTGTAGGTTGCACTTCGATCACGTCTAGTATGACATCTAAAATTTTCAAATTAGCTATAAAGATAATGCAAGCTGAGCTTCAAAACCTTGAATTACGTACGATCCATGCCAATCCGCTTTATTGTTCGATATATCATTATCAATAACATTCATATGGACATTTTCCAATACATTTGGTGCATTCTCAGATAATGCATAGTGTAGTTTTGTCAACACTACTTGTTGTCCATGTTTCTCGACATAATGAACATAATACGTTAAATCGCTCATAAATGTATCGATAGATCTTAGTTTGAGAAATAAACATTTATTCGCATCTGTACATTCTTCAATTTCATTACTTTTACTAAATCGACTGTACCGTCGTACCAAATCGTATAGACTTTCTACAGCTCTAAAGTTAAAAATAGACGAGAGTAGATTTTTAGTTAGAAAGAAAAAGAATCTCCTACAATTTCACGGCACCAACTTCGGTTAATCTTTCCAGAGCTAAGTGTCTATAGCTGGATATTTCTATGTTTATTTTATCAATTCTTTGTTGTACATCATCTAAGTGTTGCTGTAATTCTCTTATACGACTGTTAAATACTGATATTTGATTTTGTTTACGCTGAAAAAAGGATGATCGATTCATCAATATTATTACACACCAGAAAATATAAACTAGAAGAAAAATAATAGAAAAATTAATCGCAAAAGATATTATAAGTAAAATTATTAGCTTAATACTCACTTCGATTGTTGTCAAAAGTGTTCTTCTCACATCGCTCAATTCTTCATTGTACCCTTTTAAGGTTGAAAGAATATCCTAAAATAAAAGAAGAAAATTTAATAACATAAACCAGTATCGTTGAGGTACTGTTTAACATCATCTTGTCAACTACTCCCAGATTAACTAAACAAATGGTTTTAGTTATTTATACCTCATAACTGTCATATAGCATATCAAATTTTTCCAACATTTCGTCTATACTTTGAAAACGATCTATTTGATCTACAATCTAATATAAGACAAACGAAAACTGAATAATATCGAGCCTTTTCATCTATACCGAAAACATTACTTGACTTAACAAGTTGACATGCGGTTGATAATTAGCTGCTATGCGTTGCATTTTTTCCCTTTTTATTTTTAATTCATGTGTTCGAATTTTTAACGTTTCAATTTCATGATTTTTCTCATTCGTTAAAAGTTTCTCATCTTGAACCCGTTTCAATGAACGTTCGCGTTTCATCGCCAATTCCTAGCGTAGAAAAATAAATTGTTTGGTCCGTCTGAGATCTATTCGTGATGCGTACTTTGATATACATTTCATAACTAATTACTCGTTCTTTTAACATGACTTCTTTATTATGCAAAGTTTGCTTTCGCTTTTGTAAATTTTCGGTTTTGAGTTTAAATTCCTAATACAGAAATCGTTATGTTCTCTTTTATATCGTACTTTGTTGTTCATTATACAGACCTCTCGTCTACGGATAAGGGCATCATCGAGGGCATTGGCTTCGGCAAATTTATTGAATAATTCAAGATTCAGCTGGATATCAGAGTATGCGGCGTCCGAACTTTCGAAGTAACTAAATACAGAAACAAAGTACATCGTTTGCTAAAACTAAATTTTTATACTATGCTCTTACTTGGGAGAACGACGAACAACGTTTTGAATGAGTTGGGTTAGATCTGTGGCATAATGATTACTATACGCACCACACGACATGACGGAAACAATAAAAAAATTGATCTAAAATTTTTTCCATGTTAGTTAACACAAATAATGTGGCTTCCAAGCTTCCTACATTTTTGTAGGTTTTCTTGGAAAAAGAGGAGTTCTCTGTTCACAGTAAGTTCTTTTAGAGAGTTCTTGGACTTCTTCCTCAGTAATCGTCTACTATAGATTGCTTATTAAACACGGTAAGGAAACAAATTAGCTGCAGAAGTACATTTAAATCTGAAAGACCGCAAATTATTTTAAAAAATCACAAAGAAAATCTTATAAATCAGAAAAAAAGATATTACTAATCCCAGCGTGCGCCACTAGTATTTAGAAGCCGTTTGGGATCTTTAAGAGAAAGTAGTGTCACGGTTATACCTCTATTTTCGAATCGAACACAACATGTAAAAACTTAAACCTTACGGCTTAGGCACATCTCTCGTTGATGATATCAAAAAAGAACAGTGCTAAATTTCTAAAGATAACGACAGATGTCGCTCTTTATCACTGAGGAAGATCCTGCCTGAATTTCTTCGAGCAAAATACTTATTAACTTACCCTTACGTTGAACTGTACAAAATTCGAAAACTTGTACGTCATATTTTAGCCTTTTCAGTTCTCCTATATAGATCTTGGCAGTATGTCAGTCGTTTTTTCTGAAAAGTTAAGTAAGATCTGTCGTTTTCTTATGAAATCTTCTGAGTAAATTTATCACAGATTTCATTACTTGTAAGATCTTAGATCTTACTGCATGGTCTGACATGATCTTGTACTGCTTGTCAAAAGATCTCAGAAAATCAGCTCATAAGTGACAAGATCGTATAAGATCCTGTGACATATATAAGGTTCCATCGAAATTTCTGAAACCAGGGTCTATGGAAAACCAAAATCTCAGTAGAAGCGTCTCCGAATTTAACCGAGATTTGTTTACGTTTAACTCTTTCTTATAGAGCATTTTTTCTCGCTTTTTGCTGATTTTGGTGGTATTGGGCATTCGTAAATTGCATACTGTTTCATGAAAAAATGCCATAGATAGCTTGGAGACCTCTCATTTTGTTCAGGAATGTTTGCTCTATAAGAAAGAGTCATTTGTAAAAAACAATTCGGTTAAATTCGGAGAAGCTTTTTACTGAGATTTTGGCTTTCCATAGACCCTGGCTTCAAAAATTTCGATGGAACCTTATATACGCCACATTACACTGAAAATTCTTTCAGCTGTTCAAATCTTTTTTCAGATTTGTTCTAGGTATTACGTTAGAAGAGAAAATTAAAAATAAAGGCGAATAATTTTTCGAGTCCGTGTGAGTCGAACGAAAAGCAAAATGAAAGAGATACGATTTTTCCTTTTCCTTTATGTATGTGTCCTTAAGTCTCATATGTAGATATTTGCACGTGACACCAAGAAAATGGCAAATTTACGCTCTACGGTAGAACTCTACTTTTTCCTTAACTTCACATAACAGCTAAACATAAAGATGGCTCTAAGGCACGTTGTCTGACATGTGTACTAAGAACATAAAGGGTGTACCACAAGTTCTGAAACAATTTCTAGAACGATGAATTTACAAATCGTTTCCAAAAAAATTCCTTACTATAACAAACGATAGACAATTTAATTCTCTACAAGATTGTATATTCATTTTTAAGATTCATCTTTGATGTTCAGCACAGTAATCAGTATTCTCTAGTTTTTCAGGTAAAAAAAGTGGTAGATTTATTTGCAAGGTACACAGTCTAATAGAGCGCAAAATTCTGCATTTTCTGGTCTATAAACTAATGATTTGAACTTTGAATTTTATACTGGAATAGTCAAAGTCTTTTTTTAGCGCTATTGGTGGACTGTTTTGGTAGCCTGGTAGCTGTTTTTTTAGTGTTTCTTGGAAGTTTATGTTTGAAAGCCACTAGCAATTGAAATAAATTTCTTTCACCTATACGCTTTTGTAAAGCATGAAATTGTTCACCATTTGACTGTAATAAAATTATTTCAAACTTTTTTGTACTCATTATAAGTAATTAAAAAAAGAGAGTAGTTTGTACTTTAAAACTGCTTGGAATTTTGGAAAATTTGGAGCTTTTCCAGTTAGACTTACTGTGCCAAACATCAAAGATGAATCTTAAAAATGAATATATAATCTTGTAGAGAATTAAATTGTCTATCGTTTGTTATAGTAAGGAATTTTTTTGGAAACGATTTGTAAATTCATCGTTCTAGAAATTGTTTCAGAACTTGTGGTATATCCTTTAAGCATCCTGCAAATGCTAGAATTATTAAAAACAGGGTGTAGACGTGAATTTGTAAGACAGGATCAGGCACATAATCTTGTAAAATCTTGCCACTTTTTGCACGATCATACAGGATCTTGAAAGACACTATGAAGTCTTGCTGCTAGCAAAGTTTTATTGTATCTTGCAATATGATCTTACAAGATCATATTTTAAGGTTCTTCGTCTTGAGTATGCTTAACAGTTTATCATCACGGAACAGTAGGTATTGACTCGGTCTAAATAAGAATGCATACATTGCAAGTTGTGGTTTACGCTCTTCTAACTGAAAGTCAGACATTTTTGTGACTGATAAAATAAGTCGGAAAGTATTTGATACATTCAAACTGTCCCAGATGTTTATAGATTATTTTTTAGTGTTTTATGTGGGATATGAGCTCTCGTAATGCTGCTTTTGTGTCATTCAATTTTGTGTAAATTCAAGGCTGGAAAAATTTGTTTTCTCAATAATAATAATAAGATAAATGCATGCAACTTGACAATATAAGAGACGCATGCAAAGCAGTATAACAATCATATTTTCTTTCTTTTGTTCTTGTTCGTAAGAAGAAAAAAAAAGAAGAAAAAAGAATACGTCTTCCGTTTTGAACAAAATGACTTCAAAATACGCTTCATAAAATCTATGATGGTTCACTGAATTTTTTCTTCTTCCATCGAAATAATATGAGTCCAGAAAGAATAGAAGAGAACACAAATAACATGATAAACCCGAAGCAAAAAGAAAGAATAAAAGCATATGTTATTAAATGAATATTACATATGGTGGTAATGATTACTATTATTATAATTATCTCGTTCACGTCGTGTTAATAATTTCTTTTATATTTCGTTTTTAGGAATATTTTTTTCTTTTTTTAACACTACATAAATGAACATTGTTTTTTTAGATAAAATTTTAAAGTGAAAGAATTTTTCTCTACCAAATTCTAACTAAATTCTATAATAATTGTTTATAAATGAATGCATATTCAAGTGGGTGGATCGAGAAGTAATTAAGACGTGATAAATACACAGTAAATAATAAATGGTGAGTTACTGTCTTTTATTGATCAAGAAAGAAAAAGGATGAAATGATATGATAAAATTGATATAATGTTAGAAACTATTAGTTTTAACTTACTCTGCTAGATTCTAAGTCAAATACAGACTTACTACAGCGCACGCTGGTTACAGTTACTCTAAGAAACTCTCCAGCCTACGAGATAGGGGTGGATCTCATCCAGATCTTATGCTGTATTATATATATATACATTATAGTCTATGAGTCAAATTCATTAAGTTTACAAAATGATGTGTATTGCAATAGAGATTTTCAACCCTTTTCAGAAGTCTCATGGACACATACATCGAGATATTGGGAGTCAGTGGAGAGAAAAATGCGATAGACGCATAGAAATAGTTTTCTAAGGAGTATGACAATGCAACATTTTTTACTTAGAAAAAATACATCTAATTAAAAGGGTCACACAGAGTGACGGAATACCGTAGGCAACCAGGAGCAAGAGAAAATGTCATGACTTTTACTTGATAGTATCACGAATAGTATGGAAGACAATTATACATTTTACTGAACTTTTAGTTTGGATAGAAACTGAAGAATCGCTACTCGGCAGTCTAAACAAGATGTGAGCCTCATAGGACAATCCCTTAACTGTAATTCAAAATTCTTTAAGATTGAGCATGCATAACCATCAGCCCACATATCATTCGTAAACATTGCCCACTTTGCGTTCTTGCAGATAGATAATCAATCTTCTTCAACATCTACAAAATTTAAAATAATATAAAAAGCGACAAGTAAAACAAACGTGATATTCGTGATCAACGCATCGAACTGCGTCTAGTCAAGCATAACACAGAAGTTTCACACAGAAAACGTTTCTAGAATCAAGCCAATGAGTAAGGGATGTCCTGTGAGATTCTACAGAAAAAAAGTTTTAATCTTAGGCGTGAAAGTTTAATCGCCAGGCGTGAAAGTTACCAATCTTTTTTTACTCCTAAAATTTTATAGCTAAAAACCGTAAAATCTACAACTGTAAACTGTAAAAATTATTTTTCAAAGATATTTTTGGAAACTGCGACATATGTTCATTATTTATCTATTTTACATTAAAACACACACCCTACAACAGCTTTAGAAACAAGCGTTGACTGACTGTTCTTTTTTTCCACTATTTCAATGTTCATATTTACCATATACTTAATAAACAATGAACTGTAAAATAAATCAAAAAACATTAATACATTTAGTGGAGAAAAATCGATAAGTAGACTATGCTCTCATGCATAAATGAATGCAATTTTTCTCTGTTTTGCTTCAGTGATACCACTAGTAAACAAAGGGAACCGTCATATGACATCCAATCCACCGATTAATATGAGCATTTTCCACACGACTCTTGAGATATACTGTTAATCATTGTAAAGAAATGCCTTCTGGTTTTTGTTAATCGATGGAAAAGATCTTAAGGCATCTTTTTCATACGTAAAACAAGTTGAAAAATTACTTTCCAAAGATATTTTTGGAAAATCACGTAAACCTTCCGGCACACCATCGCAGGATCTTAATTTTTGGTCTTGTTTTGTAGCAAAGACCCATATTTAGAAATTGTCTGTGATGATTTTTGAAATTCTTTTCCTGAGAAACTGGAAATTACTACCCCGGATTTCGGGGATTTAAAATGTGAATAGAAAACGAAGGGAAACAAATTTTGAAAATCGTC